CCACTTAAAGTAACAGCCATGTAAGGAATGTTTAGTGAGCACAATTAGGGCTAATTTGACCCTCCTTGATTGCTGAGTACTCAGAAACTCAGGCCTAGGAGTCCGGAGGGAAACTACTGAAAAGGGCCAGTAAGGCAAATGCCATCTTTAGCTATCTATTTAGCTTGATGGTAGTTTATACAAATAAGGTGTGAAAATTGTATGTGCGAAGCATGTTGAAACTCATCTTTTCCTTGCTATATTTCATTGTCCCTCTTAAAAGTCAGGCACCTGGTGTGACCAAACTCTGGATTAAAAAACACACACCCCAAACCCTAATATTTAGAAGAAAGCATAAAATCGAAGAGATTACTGCTTTGGGAATGGGTAGAAATATACCTGTGTAAACCATTTCTTCCCATATGAAGTCACTCCTCTCTGGTTTGATATTTCTATAGAAGTGTATACATGTGATTGCAGAGCTCAGCAGACATAGTTCTTTCCACAATAACTCCATGGATCGCCTGGGCCCCAGGGAGAAGCTGGCCCCAGTGGGAAATGCAGGTAGGAGTTAGCTCATGCAGGGCTTACTGTGGGAGACAAGGTAACCGTCTATGCTTTAGTCACCAGCTCTCCACCATCTACCAACGAATATGACAATTCCTTAACTTGCTCTTCAAGGATTGCCAGGACCACTCACTTCATGGTGGTTATGGATATACTGCAAAGACTTTGCTTACAAAACTCTGTTTTTCTTTGAACACGCTGAGATAGTTTAAATTGAATATGTTTGAACTCTTGGATAAATGAACTAGAATTATGTTAGGTTTCCAAATTCTGTAAAATTTGGAATGATCCCTGTCCCAGGAACCACATGGTTTAATGGGGAGACAAACCACAGGGCTGAGGAAGGCTCTGGAAGGTTTGGTTCAGGAGCTCAGGGGTTCAGGTGCAAGGCCCTATAGCCCATGTAAACTGTGCAGGTGGCCACTGGGCTTTGCCACCTTGTGCACAGCAGCAGGCAGATGTTCAGTGGCCAGGCTCTGATGCCTGTGAACCTTCTCTGTATCTCACATGTCACTCTCACTGGTGGCTTCTGACCTTTGAGGCGATGGAAGCACTAGATAACCAAAAGAAAGAAGACCTGAGAACAGAATAACTAGTCCAAATCAAAGTGTAAGAGCTAAAGGGAGTGTTTTCTGGTTGCCACAAGTTAAATTTTTTCTTATAAATCTATTGGCATAAAGAATAATTCCTGGGTACATTCCATTTGTCCTTTGTTTCCTCCCTTGTATGATTATATTGTTATTGATGTCATTAAAAGTACATTCATCAGGCCCAGCTGTCAGAATTGCACTTATTTTGTGCCCACAGGCAGTTTTGAGGTAAATCTCTTGCTTTAGGGCATTAGCTGATCAATACAGACATCTATAGAGAGGGATTGTTTTCCCACCTCCCTCTGCATGAAGTCACTCTGGATGGAATGGGGAGTTTAAGAAGGTGCCCCTACAGAACGTTCCTTCTGTAGTCCCCTCCCTTTTCAGGAGGGGACAGCAGGTCCAATGAAAGGCCTTGGAAGAAATATGGTGGCTTCTGGTCAACTCCAGCTCTGCTCTTTTTCAGCTTATTCACGCTTCTTTCCTGGTTTTTAGTCTGATCTCAAGTCTTATTTTATCTTTGAAGTTTACTGGACCAACATTCCTGCACTTCATGCCCGAACCTCCTTGTTATTGCCTTTATTTACTTTTAAGTGGGAGTTTGTCTTACTCATTTCTGTATGTTGGAGACTTAGCAGTGACAGCGCACTTGACAGATGGTTAATATTGCTGAACTGAACTAGTTCCTAACATGAGTTTGTTTCTTTTCTCTACTAAAAGAGCTCCCCTTGCCTTCTCTCCTCTCCTTCCCCCCACTCCTCTCACCTTCCCCTCTCACTAATTCGGCCACATCTCCCTGCTGTCTAAATCATCTCTGGATTCATTCAGACACACTCAGGTATTCTACCAATTTCATATTTTTGGAGATGTCTTCTAGAGCCTTCTTACAAACTTCACACTGAACTGATTGTCCTCTTCACCCAGGATCTAGAGGAGACCCTGAGACTTCACCTCATCACCCTGGAAAGTCCTTCTCTTTCTGTGTCAGACTGTTTCTTGGATCCCATGTGGCCCTTTGGTTTGGTTACTCTCTCCCTTTGGTCCTCCAGGACTTTCCTGATAAGGGGTATGTGGGAGGTAAATTTAAAGCTTTGCATATTGAAAATACCTTTATTCTGTCTACCAACTAATTAATGGTTTGACCAGGACTTTTCCTCAGAATTTTGAAGGCATTGCTTTATTTTCTTTTAGTATCTCATGCTGTTCATGAGAAGTGTTATTCTTAATCCTCTGTATGTAACCTGTATTTTTCTCCTGGAATCTTTTATGATCCTCTTTGTCCTCAGGGTTCTGAGATTTCACCACCATGTGACTTAGAAATCTACTAGCAGTGACTGTGTTGGCAGCGGACAGTGACTGAGGCGCAGGCTCCAGTGCCACCTCACTAGCTTTCTGACCTCATGCAAGCTACTCAACCTCTGTACCTCAGTTTCCTCATCTTAAAATAGAGATAATAATAGTACCTACCTCATAGAGTTCTCATGGTAATTAAATGAATTAACATCTGTAAAATGCTTAAAACAGTACCTGCCACTTAGTGTTAAGCATTATCTTCTATTAATATGAAAAAAATCTCTTAGAGTTCTGCAAAGTTTCTGTGACCCTGTGCCTGAGTATAAATGTTGGTCTTGAGAGGGGGAATGGTTGTACAGGGGAAGAGGTGGCTGATTTTCTGATGTGAGATGAATTTCAACAGGGTGAGGCTGATAAATAGGTAACTGTTATTGCTGGTAAGACACCCCTGGACTATGGATTCCCAGCTCAGGATGAGAAGAATAACAGGGAAAGAAAAGACACAATCTGAAGTAATCTGGTCACTCCAATTTAGAATTCAGATATGCTCCCTGGAAGAGTGTTTTCATTTTTCAACTTAAAAGGAAATATCATGACATAGATTCGGAATGACAGTAAGAAAAATGAGAGGATGTTTTGGAGATTCTCAGTGTCTTTATGAATGAGAAATATCTGGTGATGATGCCTTCATTGTTAGTCTTTATTAGTGATTAAACTGGACCAACACACAGGCATTTCCTAATTTCTATACTAGGAAGTCAAACAATTGTTATCTTCCCTTCCAGGAAGTTGAAATTTTAACTTATAAAGAGTTCACGGACTTACACTCAAAATGATCTATTGATAACAGGAATTATAATTCAGGGTAACTAAAGAGTCCCTGTTGATGAGGGAAAGCTCTACTTTAAATAATAATTCCAAATAATACATTTAGAATAAATTTTTTTAAAAAATATATCTTTATTGATTTCAGAGAGAGGAAAGGAGAGAGATAGAAACATCAATGATGAGAGAGTCATTGATCGAGCCTACTAACCCGGGCATGTGCCCTGACCAGGAATCGAACCCCGATCGCCTGGATCCTAGGTCGACATTCAACCGCTGTGCCATGCCCGGCCGGACTAGAATAAAAAAATTTTAAATCACCATTTTGTACTGCTCTCGTGAAATAATTGATTCAAAGACCATTAATAGATGCAAAACCCACTGGTTGAAAGGGGATGGGGAAAGAAATATTCACATTGTGCTGAAGTACTGTACGTAGAATACTTACTATTTGCAAAGAAGTTTCATTTACAATAGACAGATATGCTGTCACCAGATGGTCCCAGTAATTAAACACAACATCACTAATAATGAGACAAACCAACAGGTGGATCCCAATATGATAAATATGAAAACATCATCATCTATACAATATACTTGCTAAAATGTTTATCTTGATTCTAATAATTAAGCTTTTAGATCTGAGTTTCATCTTAGAGAACAAGGGATAGAGGAAGCAGGTACACGACACCATGAGGAAAACATCAAGAGAATCCAGAATGTGGGACCTTCTAAAACTAGCCTTATCTTTTCAAAAAGGGGCCAGGGCAAGGAGACAGGTCTACATTATGAGACCTAAGAGATATAACCATATGTAATGCATGACCGTTGATTGGATTTTGGTTAGAAAAACTGTGAAAGTTTTTTTGGCATGATTGGAGAGATTTTAATATGGAATGAACATTAGACATATTATGCCATCAGTGTTAATTCTGTCAGGTGTCATAATAGCCTTGTAACTATGTAAGAAAATGACCTTTTTTGGAGCGGAGGGGATGCCAGCAGAAGTATTAGGGGTGGGATTTCAAGATGTAAATTACTTTGAAATAATTTAGCTAGACAAATAGATATGAAGCAGATATGGTAAAATGTTAACTGTTGTTGAATCAAGATGGTAGGTATATGGATATTCGCTGTTTTATTCTACACTGCTATTTGTTTGAAATTTTTATATTAAGATATTTAGGGAAATGGCTTGCAGATACAAAATTTTATAAACCTAACCTGACAGTGTTTTGGAAAGAGCACAAGTGTGTGCGCCAAAGGGCCACATTGGCATTGGGCACCCTGGAAGGAGCATTTGCTCTCTGTGTTTACCCGAGCAATGGAGTGAGATGGTCATTCGCTCCAGAATGTATGAGAGTTTTGGAAGAATTAATGTACTTCCCAGAGTGCCCAAGTCACTGTCAGGCATAATTTACTCATGGGCAGGATCAGATTGAATAATTCATGTTACAAATGCAATGGAAATGCTCCTTGTGGATTATTTTCCCCCAAATTAAGTCACTAAAAATTACCTCCTTTACATATGGTATTTTTAAGATTTTTTTTTCTCCCTTTTTTTAACCAATTCTTTCTCCCAAACAACATGAAGTAACTGTCCTACCCATTCAGGCACAGATGTAGAGTAACCGTTAAAGTGCAGAATGGCTTCCTGCAGTGCAAAATTGTTCTTAAACTGTGCTTGTTGCTTATGAAGTGAGTTTATGGCCCCAGCTGGTTCCTCTGTTTCTGATGTGACTTCAGGGAGCTGGACTGTGCCATGTTACGCCGCCTGGAGAAGAGGATTCTGGTTGATCTCCCCAGCAGGGAGGCCAGGCAGGCCATGATCCACCACTGGCTGCCCCCGGTGAGCAAGAGCAGAGCCCTGGAGCTGCGCACAGAGCTGGAGTACAGCATGCTGAGCAAAGTAAGCTGCCCTGGAGAGGTATCTGTGGGCCAAGCAGTCACCACATGACAGTCATCTAGGCAGGGTCTTCTTATGAGCTAAACCTCTTCCTTGAGTCACTAAGATCCAAGCTCCCCAACAATGCAAGAGTTCTTCATGAAAGAATGAGCTCTTTGTCACTTGGAAGTATTCAAGCAGAGAGAAACAATATGATATAGTTAAAACAGCATAGGGTTTAGACTTGGAGGACCTGTGGTCAAATCCTGGCCCTGCCAGCAGCTTCCTAGCTATGTGACCTCAGGGGAATCACTTACTCTCCGAGACTCAGCTTCATTTGTAAAATGGGTAACATGCCACAAAGGATTACTGTGATGATGAAATGGAAGTCGTTCACAAATATGAAGGCTCTAGGTACATGTCTATTGCCCTCATCGTCACTGCCATCACTGACTCCTCTGAGTGGACACTTGAACTTGATGTTCGTTGAAGTTCCTCAAAGGCAGTCATGGTCTTATTTACAAGAACAAAAGTATCTACTTAAATTTGATCATCTTTGAATTTAGCACAAGGGCCCCATTAGGTTAATGTGGGTGGTCCAGTCCTTTACCAGCATCTTATAACATATATTTGGATGGAGTCAGGAAGTTGTTCATTGCCCAGCTTCTTAGGTTATCCAAACATGCTAAAGGCCTCTCTTTTCCCAAGTATTATCTACCTGGGAATCTTTGTAGTGTCCAGGGGCAGGTACAGAATCTAAACAGGGGCTCTGATCCTGGGTCCTGCCCAGAAGGATGTGATCACCACCAGCATTCTGCCTGCTGACCAATGGCTGGTTTGTGGCCGTTTCAGGAGACTGAGGGCTACTCAGGCTCAGACATTAAGCTGGTCTGCAGGGAGGCAGCTATGCGGCCTGTGAGGAAGATCTTCAATGCACTTGAAAATCACCAGTCAGGTAACGCTGGGATCGCAGCAAAGGTGCTCTGGAAGGAAAATCTGTTTAAAAGTCCAACTTTCACCAGCAGATGGAGCCCTGTGCCTGTTCTTGGTGGCTCTTGACATTTGCACACATTCTTGGTCTTATCGCCCTTCCTACATTCAGCTCCTCCCTCCTCTGGTGTTCTGTTTTGGATCCATTTTGCCCACAGATAATAAACTCCTTAGGGCTCGGGCTTTTATATCTCTGGCACACTATGATGTTGGACTGGACCCACTGCGGCACTATATAAATATTAAATAAAACTTTGATGATACATTTAAATCACATATTTTTGTCTGGACTGCAGGGGCCGAGTTGTACATTAAAGAATTTTTTCTGAGCCCTGTTTAGTCTTGACTTTTCTGCATTAACCATTAAGAATGTTGCATTATGCATTGTCTTGAAAGACGGTCTATTAGCATTGCAAGAGCATTGATCACCATAAGGTCGATTGTTGTGCTGTTACTGTTGTTTTTATCTAGAGAGCAGCGATTTACCTGGGATCCAGCTGGACACAGTGACCACTGCCGACTTTTTGGATGCGTTAGCTCACACCAAGCCTTCAGCAAAGAACCTGACTCAGAGATACTCAGCCTGGCAAAGTGAGTTCGAGTCTGTATGAAATCACATTGACCCTGACCTGGCCACAAAGACAACCACGTAGGCCTTCTGGTTTATCAGTGTAAGTGGAAGGACATGATTGGAATAAGAAAAAATTGTTCTTGAAGACTGAATTAATTTGGACAACTATTGCTTTGGAACTTTGAGATATTTTCATTAATTTTTCATATTTGATGTCAGCAAAATATTAAAGATTTCAATTACAGGCAGATGGGCTACTAGGTCATACAATGGAGACTTTTCTTACAATTAGACTCAACGAAATTTTGATTAACAATTTCTTGCAGTGTTCCTCATTTGTGACTGGTGTTTTGATTTTGAAGGAAAAGATATAGTTAGGGAAACTGCATTGGAATGCACGGTGCGGTTCTGAGTTGGGGAGCCAATTAGAAGCTAAGCTGACAGTGCAAGGGTGGATAAGGATGGGACCAGGAAAGAAATGTAGTCTTTCCCCTTCCTTCCTTCCTTCCTTCCTTCCTTCCTTCCTTCCTTCCTTCCTTCCTTCCTTCCTTCCTTCCTCCCTC